GCCAGAACCTTGGGTGTTGTTCTTCCCTCCCCCACCTTACATTGTTCATGCTGTGCGACCTATTTAGGAGGGAGGTAAGGGAGAGGGAGGGTGGAGGAAGGGGAAACTCACTACTACACTATTACATATGGTCAAACAAGGATATAAAACAGACAGATGAACAGAAAAATAGAACATTAAAAAAAATTCAGTCTGGGCCCCTCTTCAAACGTGCCTCTTCCCCCCCCCCAGGGGGCCGTATGTCTTCCCTTGAGAATGGCTGCTCTAGTACGTGATGTTTAAAGGTTTAGAAAATAGGTGTTTGTTCATAATTTGTGGCTCAAAGAGAAGTATTTCTTGGTGAGCATCAGTCAGCACACCCCTGTGCGAAAATTTCAGCAAGACAGAAGCCAGAACAGAAAACTGAGAATAAGTTTGCAGGACAATTTTTTAAAACTCAGACTACCAAGATGAAAGTGTTGCAGGTTTCTCCTGATTGCAACTTATGGATTTTTCTGGTCTAATATTATGTGCCACTCGCACGTGTGCATCAGGCACTATTTTTAACAATTTCAGAACCTCCAGGCACTCGGATTCCTTGATTGGGCAAAGGTTCAAAGGGTGGGGTATTCTTTTAATGTGAGCTTGTTCCACCTTCCAAAATGTATGTTTGATCCTTTGAAATAATTGGGTGTGGACTTTGCTATTTCCATAGTGTATGTATGGCAAGAAACAGCATGCCTTTAACAATTTAATATTGATGTTCCTTTTGCCAGAACTTCAGAAATATGCTGTCATACATATACACACCCTGCATATGTATGGGTGGATACTTTAGAAGGAAAAATTCTGTTTTGTGTTTGTACATGTCTTAATGTGAAAACTAAAAGGCCACCAAGGTCTCCATATCAGATAAATGATGCTTTTACAATTATTTACTAGAGATTATTTTGTTTGCAAATTAAAATATCAATGTATAATATGTTGCTTAATATACATTTCAAAGAATTCTATATTCTATATTCTATATGGAGAGCTCAGTGAGTTACATATCTGGCTAATACCAAGCTCTGCCTCCAACTGCTGACATTTTGATTGTTGCTACACTAAACAGTTCTTTTGTCTCTGTGGCCCTGATGTCATTTCCAGCTTTCTCAAAGGGTTTAAGGGTTATGTGTGTGTGTGTGTGTGTGTGTGTATGTATATGTATACACACACATACACAATTTTACTTGATAACTCCCCCCACCCCCAGTAATGGGCAACACCAAGAGCATATGAGGTAGCTGACACCAAATTTTTCATGTTATATATTGACAGGCACCGAGTACACTGACATAGGTATGAAGTTCCCTGTTCTTCTCCATACTTGCGAAGGACCATGCCAGTGCAATGTCTCTATTTTTAAAAGTCACTTTGATTCTACCAGCTCCAGTCCATAAACCTATTAAGTGACTTTCAGGTAACCAAGTCTACCAAGTGACTTGGAACTAGACTTTCTGGGAGTTCCATCCATTTTAAGAAGTGGCTTGGTCTTTCCACATCATAATCCTGTCATTCCCTGCTGTTCTTTCAAGACTCACAGATGCTCTGAAAAAGCTTTTCCTTGATTTTAATCTGAGAAGGGTGGAATGATAGCCCACAAATGGGTGTATATTCGAGTCTTTCTGTTAGCTGCTATTTCTCTCCATATGTCACTGGGTGAAATGGGCTCTAGATAATTGATTTTATTGATATGGGTTGGTTTCTGGCATCTGGTAATCAAACCTTCATTCCCATTTATTGCACTCCCAACTTGCTATGGATTCGCAGACATGGCCACGGAACGTGTGATACTATTATAGGAAGTAACAAGGTATTTTTGTTATTATTTTTATTAGTTTTATTTATATGCCCCATTTCTCCCAACAAGGGACCCAAGATTTTACATTATCTGTGTGATGGGTGCATATATTCTGTAACCTCGTGGAGACTGTGAGATTCCTGTACTTGGTGTGTACCGCCACCAAATTACAACCATCCCCAAATTCCTCACTAAGTTCAGATTTGCTGTTTAATTTATAACAGAGACTCCTTCTCATAGAATATCCTTTGAACAAATCAGGCAAACAGCCAGTGTTCCCTTTCCACTGCTGCTTAAACACTGCCACAGCTAAGGATTGGATTTAATATAAATAGTATCTTCACAGTCCAGCAGCATACCAGCCAATCAGACCATACATACACATTCCATTCCCCCTCCCAACAGGTTTTAACAGACTCTCTAGTATACATCCAGTTTATCACTGCCAATCACTCACTCTCTCACACTGTGCATACCAATACATACCTATATACAACTAATAAATGAGGCAAGGTTTTTGGTCACAGCCACACAATGACAACCTAGAGGTTGAGTCTTTAAAATTGTTTTGATCTGGAATTGCTAATTCTTACTCAACAAATTGCTTATCTACAAGATCTAAATACTTTTAGTGTAATAAAAAGCAACTGCAGATTTAAAAAATTGTGTTGGTTGGTTTGTGGGTTTTTTTGGTTGTACACACTACGATAGATGGTTATTTGTAGGTCAAGGTTAGTTAAAAATTAAAATATACAATATTCACAAAAACACATTCCTCTTTGCTGCTACCTTTTTGCTGCACACTGCCCCTATTTTATAGACCACCAGAATCACAGAATGATGAAGTTGGAAGGGGTCTACAAAGCCTTTGAGTCCAACTGCAGGAATCCGAATCAAACTATATCAGACATGTGGTTGTCTAACTTTCTCGTGAATGCATAGAGTGTTGGAGTGCTCACCATCAGCTGAGTTAAATGGTTCTATTGTTATATTGCTCACTGGAAGGGCAGATCCTGAAGCTGAGGCTCCAATATTTTGGCCATCTCATGAGAACAGAAGACTCCCTGGAAAACACCCTGATGTTGGAAAAGTGTGAGGGCAAGAGGAGAAGGGGACGACAGAGGACGAGATAGATGGACAGTGTCATCGAAGATACCAACATGAATTTGACCCAACTCTGGGAGGCAGTGGAAGACAGGAGGGCCTGGCGTGCTCTGGTCCATGGGGTCACGAAGAGTCGGACATGACTAAATAACAACAATTGTTATATTGCTCTAATAGTTAGGAAACTTTTCCTGATATTCAAATCAAATTGGCCTATTATTATATGTCCTGCATTCTGTAATGATTGAGAGCATCCTCTGTATAACCTTTGCCCCTCCTCTATATGGCAACCTTTTAAGCATTTGAATAGTGGTGTCATTATTTCTCCTCAGTCTTCTTTTCTCAAGACTAAAGATGCCCATTTCTTTCAGTCTTTCCTCATAACCTATTCTAGTTTACACTATCTGCATCCTTCATGAAGTTTGGGATTGATGTCAAGGCCACTGGTGTGTAGTTTCCAGGTTCTCTCTTTTTGCCTTTTTAAAAAAGATATGGACAAATGTAATCCTCCTCCAATCATCTGGCACTTCCCCCATCCTCCATGATTTCAAGAAAATAATAGGCAGTGGTTCTGAAGTTCTTCAGCCAGTTTCTTCAATACACCTGGATGTAGTTCCTTTTTAAGAATCTCCTGTCCATCAAGGACTCATATTCTTGTTAGGATCTCCTGCCATGGGCCCTGACATGTTCTGAGATTATTAAAGTTGGCTTTCCTAAAACCCAGTATACACATGCAGCTACACTCTGCTTTGTTTTCTTTGAAATCACGAACTCAAGTAGAAGATGGTCACTTTCCCCAAGAGTTTTCCTTCCTGCCATTTATTCTAACAAGCCATCTCTATTGATTAGAATCAAGTCCAGGTTAGCTAGTCCTTTCCATCCATACCTTCTCCTTGTATGGGCAGTTGCTAATCAACTCAAAGTACCATGTTCCTTTCACATGTATGGTAATGTGCTGGGATTTCTCCAGTGACCTTTTCTCCCAAAGGGAGAAATAATATTCAGGGTGAGGCCAGAACATCCATATCTAGGCAATCACACTGCATATTCCAATATTTTATCTCTGTGACTGCATCTTGATGCTACATTGATTCTGATGCATAAGTGATTTTTTAAAAAAAAAAAAACATCAAATCCAGCCAGCTGTCTTCCAGGCAGGATTTTACTTGCTTCTGCATGCCACTGCAATCCTCTCTTGTTATTTCTGTGGGAACATCTGATACAGTTATACTCCTGTCAGGATTTTCCCATAAGTGTTACCTTGTTATAATCACATACTTGCCTATAGCAATATTCAATTTACATAGTAAATGGATGTTTTAATAAGGGAGAAACATTAAAAGAGAGCTTAGAAGCTGCTGCATTATGAAGTGGAAGGGGAAAAGAAACATGTGCCCCTCCCCTAGGGAGAAACCAAGGTGTGTGTGTTTGTGTGTGGTTTTTTTTGCTTAACATTCAGAAGCATAGAAAAGGATGCCATGATTCCTGTTCTGCCACTTCTTTCAAACAGGACAAATGATAATGGCACTTGTTAACACTTCTACTCTAATGTGTTTCATTTGTGATATATCTAAAGACATGCAGTAGTATTTGAAATCAAAGATTTATTCTTAAAACAGCTCTCCAAAACTTGCAGGAGGGAAGTAAGAGGAGATTACATTGAAATTTCAATTTTGTAGTTTTTAAGGCATGGTAAACGAAGGCAGAATAGATTGCGTTTCACATCTTCTAAGAGCTACAAAGCAAACATAATGCAGAACCTAGAATATTTTGAACCAAGAATTTCACAAAAACTTCAAGATACGGACGTCTGTACCTTGCAACACCACTGTGGTGTGGGGGAGGAATTTTTAAGTTTTACAGTCCTGGCTATAAAATTGTAGTAACAAATGTTAAAGAATGAACAGGTTTACAAACCAAAACATCTTTGTAACACACTCAATAAATTATATGGTCTCAGGCATACATTTCCGCATTGTTTTGGACTGGAAGAGCAACCTCTCATTCTTGGAAGGTACAAAACTAGCATACGTGATAGGAAAATAACAGAATTCTTTATTTCAAAATCTTTTAAAAAAAAAAAACTCTTTGAAACTTCAAATCTATACATTAGCTTATTCTGATAAAATCCTTGTGTTATTACAAACTGGATACTGTACTGGGACGGTATCCATCCTGTTCCTCTAGCAAAACAACTCATTTGCAAAGTGAAGACTTCAGGATTACTGCAGGTATCTTTGTGTAGTAGTAAGAGTTAAAAGGTGCTTGAAAATTCAACTGCCTTGGTTTTCCTCCATTCTTTATTTCTCCTTGTGATCTAGAATGTCCTGACAGAAGTATCTCACCATGCAATTTTGTAATCATTTTTGCTCAAAAATGTTAGGCTCAACGGTTATATGACCCTAAAAACTCCCTACATATAATTTAAATATTATATTTGTTTCCCCACACCCCCATTTTTCCAAAGTGAAAATGCCAATGGGTCTGGCACAAGAAACACATATTTGCAGTCAACATCCTGCATACTTGCTACTATGTCAACCACAAAGAATACCTTCATTTAAAAAAAAAACAGGGGAAAATACACTCACACCCCCTTAATGCACAGTGGTAAACGTGATGAAAGATTTCTTGGCTCTTACACAGATGTAAAAAGAATATCTGCTGCCATCTGTTTGTATTTAACACTAATGTGTTACAGAATCTATGTATTTATACTCACTGCAATTCAGGGGGAAAATACAGTATTCAAAGCAATTTTGTTAAATCATTGTACAGCTATACATTCTTTTAATATTCTCAATAAACTACAAAGAAAACTCTTGATTAATTTATTTTCCTGCACTTTCAATAAGTTAAAAACTTAAAATATGTTGAAAAAGTAAATGCATACATTAATGCTAAGCTATTTAAAACCGATGAAAATATATGTTAATATCTATAAATAATTTTACAAATATACATGATGTTAAGATATATATATATATATTAAAAATCAGGAAAGATTTTAAAAATTCTCTTTCCCTGGATCAGTATATCCTAGATTGGAAGGTTTCTTACTTGGAGAAATTCTCTTTCAGCCTGGCTATCAGCTACCATATTATTTTAGACTCATATACACACACATATATATTTATAGATATATACAGAAATCTAGTGAAAAAGAACTTGTAGATACATTTAAAGTCACTTGCTTAACAGGTACCCGTAATTATTTTCTCCAAATATTCATTGGAAAATGCTACTACATTTCTGGGAGAGGTTACAGACATCTGTTGCGGGGACTTTCAGGCTCCCATCTGTAATTTTCACCCACTGGATATAAATAAATACAGCAAATAGCAAGGCTTGTGTTCCAAACTATTCATGATTTTAAGACAATCCCCTGGAAGAACTGGAGAGCAGGTTAAGCACAACATGCTAAAACTAAAAATTAATGACATTCCAGTCACCCCAGTGACTACAGCTTGCAACATGCTTCCAGTTCTTTGCGTTCTCTTCTGTCTGCATATGTACATTCACTTACTCTCTTTCTGCTGCTAGTGCAAGAGGCAGTTATTCTCCATCATGGCAAAACCAAGGCAACTTTTACAGAGGCCTGATTTTTTTTAAAGAATGACCAACTCTTCCGAATGGCTTCAACATTCCTCCTAAACAGATGGTGAATATAATAAAAAATAGTATGTATTTACATAAGTGTATGGATCCCTGCAGGCAATGTGGCTCTTGAGTTCCACCAAAATTGTTCTTCACATATTCTTCTCTTAATGACCCCTCATGTTTCTCCCCTAGTACAGTACTGCAGGCAGACAACGCTGACTGCGTCACTCAGGACTTGGGGCTGAGCATTTAACACCTTCCAAATTCAAGAAGGACAACTGCAGTAGGTTCTGGGAACCAATTTTGACCATCAATAATGTTGCAATCCACAAACCCTCTTCTCCTAAAACTGGAAGTAATCAGCAGGCCACTTTCCATTTCAAAAGATGCTTATATCTCATTAAAAAAAGGCATGTAAGGGCCAGGGGCACACCTTATTTAAAAGAGGAATCATGCATCCTCTTTAAAGCATGGTGGTCTTTGGGACTGTCATTCATTAGAGGGGGTTGGTGACAGTGAAGCTTGGGGAGTAATAAAAAAAGGGAGGATGTCACATGTGCTGTTCCCCCACCCTCCTTGCTCTAGATGAAATACTAGCAGTCCTGTAAAACACTGGTTCATTCAGACTCAACAGTGCAACTTAGCTTTCATGGTTCTTTTTTTCAGCTAAACAGGGGGAAACGATACGCCAAGCCATGACTTCACAGTAATACTCAGTAATCTTCACTGCCATTGAGCAGAAAAATAAAATCCTCCGATGGGCTTTGCTTTTAACCTCCTCTAAGCATACATTCAACAGTCACTTTTTTTTTTTTTGCAGGTCTGTCTGTCATCACGTCCTGATGATGATGCCATTTGCTTGCTGTTTTGGAAGACAGGACTCATCTGAGAGGAGATCGTGTGCAAATACTGAGTCATCTCCTGAAGAGCACGCACTGTGTGTATCCTGGCCTGCAGGAGAATACTGCTCAAAAGGCACTGACAGATCAAGATACTCCTGTTAAGAACAATGGTACAGATAACACACAGAGAGAGAAGATAGCTTTGTTAGTATTTTCACAGTGATATGTCATTCTTTCAATCTACATAGATGAGGCCCTAGAATTGTGTACCTAGGCCCTTATAAGACAATCACTGCTAAGGCAGTTCCAGGCATCAGGGTCACATATTCTAGGATTTAGATGGACTCTAAGATTTGAAGGTATGTGTCTCCATACAGTGAAGGGCAAGCTCCAAGCAGACATTCACTTGTGCATAACCCACACAGCCTCATGTAAAAAGGCACAAGGCACTTCTTATGTGAATCCGTCTGGCTCTTAAGCTAGTCTCAGAGAGGCTGCTCAGAAGTGTGCTCACAGAAAACATGGCTTTTTCAGTTGTGGTGTCTTCACTGTGCAAACCTCTCTGGCTTTAAAAAAATGTTACTTAATGATTTTTAAGAACAGCCATCAGACCGCTACTGTACGATTTCTCATGGTGCTTAGGACTCGCAGTGTATTTTTACTGGGGTCAAGTCCATATGTTGGTCTAATTATTTTATTTTGCTTCTTTTCCTTTGTTTTGTGTTGCCTGACTTCATGGTGTTTAGTCTTTTGTTGGAAAGGTAGGTAAGAATGTTAATTCTATCCTAAGAGGCCTTAGGATCAGACACCCCCGGGAATCAAGTTAAAGCAATGGAATAAAACAATTTCAGATTTTAAAAAAAACACAGATAACCAGACAGACTGTATTGATTTTATATGGTGCATTTTAACAATTAACATGAATTTGCTTATGGGGCCTAGAGCAGCCCCCATGCCCATATTCACTTCAGAGGCCCATTGCACAATCTAGAAGGCTGTGAAGTTGAATCTTGTTAAGAGTAGCTACTTATCCAGGATGTTAGATGCTGGTTGTGAATGCCAGTGATGTAAGGGCACCACAGAATAAGAAAGGAAGAGATACTCACATCAGTTGAGGTTACTGCCAGAACTCGATCAAGGTCTTCGACTAGCTGCTTAAAAGTTGGCCTCTGTGATGGTACCGCATGCCAGCACTCTCTCATAATCATGTACCTGAAAGGATGGGAGCAAGAAGAGAGAGAGAGAGTTTGTGCCTCATTGTAATTAAATGTTTAGAAAGCAGGTGGCCCTTCCCCAGTCTCGTTAAGAAGTCACAAGATTTACTGCACACTTGCACTGAAAAAGAAATCCAAGACCATGAAGCAGAGGTTAAATCTCCGAGGGAGGACAATGCCATACCATACCAACTTCCAACAAGAGAGGTAAAGATGGGCAGGCGGACTGTAACTCTTCATTGCTTCTATGAATACACATGCAAGTATATGTGAGCATGTCCATGAGTGCATGTTCAGGCAAAGCTACTGCTCTCAAACTATTCATCAAGGAGAAGTCTCTGTGGAATTTTGAGGTGGAAGAACAGCAAGAATTGCTTTGACTAGTCATTTGCCTCTCATAGTTGTGGAGCTGAAGACAGGGAGCCACAAGACTCTGGGCCACTGAGGCTGTACTGTGTACTGGGAAGACCAGCACTGTAAAGTGCTGGCCAAGCTGGCCTCATGCACTAGACACAGAAAGTGCAACTACCCCAGTGCCTGGTTACCTCTTCATTCCTCCTCTCTTTTTCCTTCTGTATCATGCTTAGCATGAAAGGTAGATTTATAGGATGCTAAGAATTTCTTGCACCGAGAGGGTGACTAAATGTGTAAGCAAAAAGACAAAAAAGGCCAAGAGACTATGAAACATTAAAGTACAGAACATTAGAATACTTAGGGCACATCACACACACACACACACACACACACACACACACACACACACACACACACACAAACAAAGATCCTTATATCTCATTCAAAGTAAAATAAATGGGAAAGAAGGAGAATAAGGAGAAAATCTTGGCAGATAAAGAACATGGAAAACACCATCCCTGCCACATCCCAAACCAGAATGTCCATAACAGTGTCCAACCACTGGTAGCAGAACAGCAAGATTGGAAAAAAAAAAAGTCACGTGGAAAGAATGCTTATATTAGCCAGTGTGCTGTGGACTTGTGTGGACCTGCCTTTTAGTCTCTTATCTAAGGCATCCAAATAAATGGACTAACCATAACGAGCAACAGATACCTCTGGATCGGACAAGCAGATGTGCTTCACAGCAGGAAATGCTGAACAATATTTAGGAGAGGCCAAACAGATACATACAGTATATACACAGAATCTGGGAGTTAAAAGCAATGTGTAATTAAGGGATAATCCCTCCCCATAGACACAGAAAAATACCTTCTAAGAATATTAATACTTACAAATCATGGGTACAGTTTGCTGGCTTGTCCATGCGATGGCCTTCCTTTAAGAGTTTGAAGAGTTCCTCAACTGGAATTCCTGGGTATGGAGACCCTCCCAAAGTAAAGATCTCCCACAGCAGCACTCCAAAGGACCAACTAGGAATCAAAAGTTTTAAATTCAATGACAGTTGGGGGACAGAAATGAAAGGAAGGGCTTTTGCTCTATTCTTGTTCAGCTATCCGTAGCTAACAGGTCATCAATAGCATGATTAATTGTGCGGGCCATTCTCTTTCATTATGCATTTACAGATCTCTGCTGATCCAATTCAACAGAAATTCCAGGCAGCAAGTCTGAAATTAAGATCAGAGAGCTGACAGCCCATCTATTAACTCTAGGCTCTTTCTGAAATTTTCCCTTTGCATCACTGAATGGAACAAGTCAAATTATTCATGCACAGATTCACTGGCCTGCAGGATCTCTTCTCTGCTTGGCTTTACAATTGCTTCCATAACTGTTTTTGCTTTTACACTGGCATTGTTTAAAACTGTTTTCGCTTTTACACTGCCATTGCTTACACATCACTCTGGTGAGTATAGACACGGTCAAACAGTGCTTCTGGAGCCATCCATTTCACAGGCAGTCGACCCTGTAATTAGGCAGATAGGGAAAAAAAGTCCATCAGCACTTTTACTAAGCCTCTCTGGCACCATCCCAACCTTCTACTATCACCCAGTCTGGAATGTTTTGATTAGTGACCAGATCAAACACTGGGCAATGCAATAACAATCATGGATATATTAAATATACAATGTTCAAATTGCAAGTGCAAATGGTATTTCTAGCATGATCTCCTTCACTGTAAGATAAATAGAAGTCTAAAGACATGGGCTTGGCTAATTCCCATGCAACAGACCACTATCTCCATCCATGGAGATGGTACAAAGTCTTTCCTTCATGCTGGCTCTGAATGAAATTAGGCTATACGCTTAGAGAAGGCACTCCTTCAGTGCTGAAAAACATCTGTTTGTCACTGCATACAATGTTCTTCAATTTTGTACTTGGCATGCTTTGTTTTGTGATACGTCACTAGAAAGTAAACACAAGCTTAATTCGCAGGTTTGATGGCTGACACATATATCTCTGAGAATATCTCAGTGTGGGAGGGTTAGCTATAGAGAAAATCCATTCCTCTTAACATCTAGTTTTACTGTTGTTCATCTCTCCCCTCCCTCAACTTTTTCCTTCTCTGTACTATCATCTTTTCCTCTCACTCTCCACAAATCTACATAATCCTCCACAACACAATTATTCAGCTCCAATTTTTCTCCTCCTGTCTGACACATAACACTGTAATGCCAAAGGCTTTGCAGCCATAAACGCAATACAACATGTCATACAATGGAACTGAAGCTGACTGTACAAGTCAGCAGAACATATTGGGACTATTTAAATCCAGCCAAAAGAACTCCCTTTTCTACATGAAGCTAGCCATGCCTACTAGCCAGGGTGAAGATAACACTCTGTCCTTCTGCTTTGAGCTTAATTCAATTCAGCCTGGAAATGCTGTTAGTTTGCAATCTGCCTAAGTTTACCCAGAGTGACAGAAACAGATTTTAGTAGGACACAAAAGTTGCCCTGAAGAAAATGTTTGGCCGAATGATCCCTACCAAATCAAAGTCAGCATCCCTGACAAGGGGAAAAAAGGCATGTTGATGACTCCGCTGAGAAGTTAAGAAGTAACAAGCAATTCCTTTCCTTAGAATAAACAATTATGTCTGGCATGATCTTAAGGCAGTGGTCCCCAACCTTGGGCCTCCAGATGTTCTTGGACTACAATTCCCAGAAGCTTTCACCACCACCACTGCTGGCCAGGATTTATGGGAGTTGAAGTCCAAGAACATCTGGAGGCCCAAAGTTGGGGATCACTGTCTTAAGGGGTTTTTTTTGGTGCATGTCTGACCTGCATGTCTGACCTTTCCATATCTGGACCTGCAGAGAGTATCTGAGATGTGAACAATATCATCATTATAACAGAAGATACTAAGAGAAAAAGATGCTAAAAGAAACAAAAGGTGCCAAGAAAGTCTTTGCTTCTTGTAATAACAGTTGTTATATATTCCACAATGACCTGCAAGGAGCTAAAAAAGCCGATGCACCAAAGGGCCTATCTAACCCTGGCTTTCTCCTCACGCCACAGAGCATGGTTTGCACAGAATACAGGAGCCTCCCTCCTTCTCCTCCTCCATACCTTTGGTTTCCAACTCCAAAGATACAATGCCTCTAGACTTCCTCTGGTGCTATATATCAGAAGTGTATTAGAATAGGGGACGAGCATAGTCCACTTGGCCTACTGCCATCCTACAAAGCTGGGCGTATCATGCTTGTGGACATAAAGATTTTTCAGAGAGTACGTGAACCGATCTCTATCTCTGACAACTGAACTGAAGATCAAGCCACAAGTTAGATGCACAACAACCAAAGTGTTCCAGTTGCCTGCCAAATAGCTATGCCATGATTTTACATCTATTCAGCCAGATTCTGCTTTGGTAACTCAAGAGCTTTTAAGGTGACAGTGAAAATCAGAGTAGGTGAAAATGCTGTGAAAAAGGTGTGAAAACTTTACCAAATGGCTACAGACAGTCAAGTTATATTTCATCCCACCTGAGAACCAATTTTAGCTTTCTTTTCTTTACACTTCTTTTAAGAGCTCTTAAAGGGAAGCACAAATAATAGAAATTAAAAAGAGATTGCCACTCACATTGGTTGTCTTCTTGTAATAATCAATGTTGTGAACATCTCTGGCAAGACCAAAATCAGCTATTTTCATTACATTGTCTTCAGTGACCAAGACATTTCTTGCTGCCAGGTCACGATGGATGCACTATAAAGAAAGGAGGAAATCAAGGAATATGAGTCAAGATGGTCACAGAAAATTGGATGATCAATTGGATGTAATCCACGAAATGGGGGACCTGCTGTTTGTGGGTCTAATATGACCTAACCAAGGTCAGCATGCTGGGCTCTCTGTCAACTTTCCCCTCCCTGAAGTTCTGTCCTGCTCTACCCAGAGAGGAGTCCTCAATAATATCTTATTAAACATGGGAGATAATAGTTGGGATCCCTGTTTGCTAGATCCTAGGCATGCCAACACTCTCTGGAGCTCCTGAAAATTATTTCTGGCTCAGAAGACGAGAATGGTGACATGAAGGAGGAGGAACAGTCTTGTCACCTCTCAGCCAACACTCTCTGGAGCTCCTGGAAGCACTGGCCTAGAGCAGATTGCTTCCTCATTTCCACTATGCAGGGAAGGTAGCAGATTACAAAATGAAATGTTTGCAGATGATGATCTCAAGGGCTTGTAAAAGAACTGGCTAATAGCCTTTTGCACCTCAGATGGTGCTCTCAACCTGTGGAACACTTAGAGTGGGAGAATCTGTCTCTCACCCATGATCTATTCCAACATGAAATGCCAAGAGGATGCTACTTAATTCCTCTGTCAGCTACTCTGTGACAACTCTTTGTTTTCTCCCCTGGCTACTTATAAATGTGCAGTCTAGTTGTTGCAACAAATTAATAGGAAGGGAGACAAAAGAGCAAATATTTATCCACTTGCTTTGCAATTACTGGTTTTTCATTGAAGTACTGAGTTATTATCCATAGATATAGAGATGCTGATGTAACCTACCTGTCTATCATGCTTTGTTAACTATGTGTTTAAGCCTAGTATGAGCGGCTTAATCCACATCAAAGATACATGCATTCATGTTTTATTTCTAACTTTATTGCTAAAGGTAACTGAAGAGTTCCTGTAACTTGCTGAAACTCACAGAGGACTTGTTTTACCATATCCCCACTAGTTCAACAGACCTACTCCAGTTGTGATTTACTACTGGATTTCAGCCTGTTTGGCTCAAACACAAATAACTATATGGTTCTCCTTTGAAGCTGAAAGGTAAAGTAGATTTGTGCTGATAAGCAATGGATGTTATTCCTAATGCCCTAAAACTATCTGCAGATATTAGTACTTTTTAAAATAAATCTTGCTTTACCTTAAAAACATAAAATATACATTTTGGTGTATAATTCTTCCCAAATTGCTTTCTACTCACTTTCTGAGAGGCCAGGTACTCCATTCCACGAGCTACTTGATAGGCACATGAGACTAAGTCCTTAAACGTTAGCTGTTCTTCAGGTAGCTTGCAGGTATCAAAGGAGTAATCCATTCCAGGTGGCCGCCGTGCTCTGAGGTATTCCCGTAAATTCCCCTTTGATGCATATTCTACCAATACATAAAGGGGGCCTAAAGAGAAATAATACATTTTCACCTGAAAGGACTCATTTGTATCATCAAGATTTTATCCTGGAGAGTACTGGATGCTGTACTTTGACACATCCCTTCACTCAAAATCTAGAATGCATGGAATTAGTTTCACATTCACCTTGCTCCCCACTCCCTCCCTCCTTTCTTCCTTTCTTTTTCTTTTTTTGCTGAACTTCAGGAATGCTCTAAATACTTATTTGTTCCTGCAGTTTTGATGTCCATTTGCTTTACTGTCTTGTAACATTTTTATTTCATACCATCTTTCACACCCTTAAAAAGTTTTCAATTATCTAGTTTCAAATTATTTTTAAATAAATAAATTCAACTAAACAAAAGGCAGTCCAGCTCCAGGATGAATAAATCAGGTTCAGTGCTGCAAACAATAGTGAGCCTCGTAACCATTTGATAAGAGGAGAAAAACACAGATAGATCCTGGGGACATCACTGTGAACAAAGAGCATATATCCCTTCCTTTCAAGTAAGCGACACAAAGTTCTTTTCCCAGACAGGCATTCCAAAACAATGCTATCCTCACTAGAAATTGCTCATGGTTACAGTTCCCATGTGTCAGTTCTCTGAATCCAGACGGCCTCACTTGTATTTCATGCATATTAGTTAGACTTATTGTCATATTAGGCAAAACTACATATTAAGCAAATTAAACATTAATTTTAACATTGTTCTTCTACCAATGTGTTGAGCCTTAGCATCAATTATAGATAATCCTAACCACTGCTGTTGAAAGTGCTAGAATGCTAGATCTGGAACAGCCAGCTCCAAATTTTAGTTTCTGCTTAGCCACAAAAGTTACTGTCCTTCAGCGAATTAGTACCACACAATCAAACTGACTTATATGGTTGTTTTCAGGGCAAAATGGGGAGAGAAAACTGTAAAGCATTTACATAAATCAGTAATAATGATATTTTGACACATGCAGAAGCATAAGACGATACATTGGACACTGTCTTTTTTCATGTTTTTTTCTTTGCTACAATTAATGTATAACCCGGGTGCCACCTCCACTCTTTTGCTTCAACCTTTTAGCATAAATCCATTCTAAAACCACAACCCACATTAGCTGCATGTTCATTTTCTTGCTGTAGAGAATGAGGTTCAGAGCAGAGCTTGGAAAAGCTCCTTTTTTGGAATGTACCATCCAGACTTCTCTGGCTACAATAGTCACTGACCATGTTGCTTGGAGGGTTCTAGGAGTTTCAGTCTAAAGAAAGTAACTTTTCCAATCTGTCTTTCCAAACAATATCTAACTCCTCTAAATATTTATTGAATGTAAAGTCCATATAACGTAGAAATTCATACAATACAAAGTAGTACAGATTTTCTCTCAATATCAGGACAAACGTCCTACCTAGTAGAGTCATATGACAATGGTGCCAATTACTTTGGGAGGTGGTAAGCGCTCCAACACCGGAGGCATTCAAGAGAAAGTTAGACAAACATCTATCAGATATACTTTTAACTTGGATTCCTGCACTGAGTAGGGGATTTGACTCAATGGCCTTACAGGCCCCTCTGAACTCCATTATTCTATTATTCTAATCCTGGCTAAGGATTTCAAGGGACCATACGATGCTCCTACAGTATACTTATGAAGAATTTATGAACATAATGTCCATTGGGTAAAAGCATTTAAATTCCTTCTCTTTAAAAGTATTAGAAGCAGTTGCTGCAGGTTAGGCCCAGTAGAACCAGGAGGGTGAGGACTTTTAAATCTATTCCTCTCACTGCAGTCCTGACAAAAATTCTTTCAAAGGCTGCTCTTTCCATTAGAGTAGGGTGGGCAACGTGCAGTCTGAAGCCACATATGTGCCTTCGCAAGACTCTGGTGGATTCCAGCTCCCCCACTCCTCCCAAATTTTAGCAATTTCAAAACATTATATTTGAAAACACCTTTGCACTCTCTAGGGGGGACATGTGAGCAATTAAGCCTAATTTTGAGCCCCTCACCCCCACAAATACCTCTCTATTTTGTTGACATATTTTGGTTGCTAGTAGGTACAAGAGACAGCAGGGCTGGTTAAAAACCATTTGCTTTTGTTGAATCTATTTTTCAGTTAAGAAAGCCCATGGCACAAACTTCAATCAATCAATCAATCAATCAATCAATCAATCAATCAATCAATCAATCAATCAATCAATCAGTCAATCAGTCAATAAATAA